CCCCAAAACCCCAAAACCCCAAAACCCCAAAACCCCTTGTTCTAAAATAACCTTGAAAATGTAATAATTTATTCTAAGAAAGAATGTCAAAAGAGTCTCCAGACCATGTAAAATGCTTTGCTTGAAAGGATATTTACCCGAAGACGTACATCCAGTACATTGACAAGGGAAATGTGCACCCTCAGCAAAGTTTTAGAAGTTCTATCCATCAAGCAAGGCATAAAGATCCTATTTTTAACCATAAAATTCCATTTTGCTACAATTGCATGCCTGACCCAGCTATTACTAAGTCTTCAAGGAGTAGATTTGAGGTGCCCAGGATCTCTGAGGATATTCTACACAAGTCGTTTGATGACAGAGGAACAGAAGGTAAAACTCTTAAATTAGTCCTGACATCACACTCCATGAAATCTGTGCTGAGTATTGCATGGGCCTTAGTTCATTATTTTTGGAGGATTTATCACTCACTGATCCCAAATTCTCCCTAATTTTTATACCCTGATTAGGACATTGGCAACCCTCAGACTACTTGCTAGTAGTCAGGGCTAATAAATTAGGGATTTAGGCAAGAATTTTGGGGAGGATTAGTTTAAGGTGGAATTCATTGCAACTGGAGGCCCAAAATGAGTATAATAGGAGCACTATTCATCAATTTTAGAAAGATCTATTCAAAAAAAATTATTTATGAGCATCACTAGAGTTAGTTATTGGAAAGCTCATGTAGTAAAGGGGTTGGATATATAGAGATGTTGGTAGACAAATTCCATGATGAGAAATTTTCCAAGTTTTAAATGTTTTCACATATTCTATTAATTTTCTATGATAAGCCTATTTTTAAATGCTGTCTTTATACTTTTGGTTAACACTCCAAGGCTCAAAATTCATCTCTATAACCTCAGAAAATACTTTAAAAAATTCATCTTAATTCCTTTCTTGACTCCTGATATAGATTTCAAGCACCAAAGTTCTCCAAATCCTAAATAAATCATCAATTTCCCATAGAAAACATCGAAATTCCACAATTACAAAAATTCCCAAAGGAGTAAATCATTCTCTTCTGAACTGAAAGAAGGCGTAAGTTGAGCATAACTTTTCTACTTTAATAAGCCGCTATCTTCTGATTTATGTTTAAGGTTCAAAGCCAGATCTACTCAGTTCACCACATAATAGCTTAAAGGCAATAGATTTGAAGGAGTAGAGCCTAATCTCTCTCAAGGAAGCTTTCTCCTTTAGGCTATATTAAGCCATATAACTAAATATATGCTATAGGATCATGAAATCTTTTAGAAAGTTGGAAGTCCTCAAGCCTCTCGAGCCTATTTTCGTAAGTTCATAACATAAGTTTGCCATGAAGGGTCCCTTAAAGCTCACTTTATGAATCCAAAAGGAGTTTTGAGATTGTTTTAAATTATTTTTCAAGTTTGACGAGGTAGTGCATAACATTTACCAAATACTCTGTAGTAATAATCCTAGCAAAACTCAGTGAAGTTTCAGGATTTCATTAAATCTTAAATCACAGAGAACTTGCCAATGCCTCATAAGTTCTGAATTTTTTGGGGCTTGAGGTCTCCGCCCTTAATTTCTATTAGTTTAGAACAATATGCATGGTATAATAGACCTGGATATCTCAAATAGCTATTTTGGAAAGTCCCTTTGACCACAAATAATAATTTATGTATCGGGATTACTCAACGGGGTTTTTAAAGGTTGAAATCCATTACCTGGCTTGCTTAGAAAAACAAAAAGGATGGCCCAGAACAGCCAAGTGATTACACAATAGATCAAAGCGGTAGATTATGTGCATGATTATGTTTAGATATCATCAGGCTAATGGCCAAGTAATCAGATTTTAATAGTCATAGACAGCTTAAAAATAGAAGACTGTCGAGAGACAACAGTAAGAATTACATCAGACTCAACAAGAGCCAGGTAAGAATGCTGAAGGTTACTTTAGAACATTGATGCTTCAAGAATTCTGGATAAAAGCAGGAATACCGAAGCTGAAAATACAATCAAAAAGTCTTTCTCCAAGGCTAAATTTAAAGTTAGGAAGGTAAACTTATGCGAAGAGACAAGATTAATTTTATAGGTCAGAAGGAAGACAAATATACGCTCCAATAATAAATCTCATAATAAGCAAGTTCTCAAAATGGTGAAAACCATGAATAAAGCAATATCTAGTTCTTCTGAAGACTCACTTGAAAGAGAAGAGTCTGAGGAAGAATCCAAAAAGCTAACAAAGTATCTCAAGGATTAATGATTTGTTGTAGAGCACCCAAACTTCCACTGAGCAATTTACATAGCTCCACTATGAATTATCTAACCATCCCTGGTTTAGACAATGATTTGTAAATTTTTAAATAACTTCATCAATAGTTCTAGCAATCAGACCAATTTAGTGAATTCAAGCTCAAAAGACTTAAAGGATAGAAAATTAATTCCAAAAAAGTCTCCAATAAAGTCTCCCTCAATTAAAAGAAGGAAGATTAATAATTTATCAATTTTGGTACCCCAGAGAGAGGGAAACCTCCTGAATTCTAAACTAAAGAGTCCTCGTACAGCAGAAAAGTGCCTTCACAAGTTTACATACCCTTGAATCCCTGAAGTGAACCAATCTTCTAAGTAAATCTGGGCTAATTCTTGTAGAGATGATAGAAGTTTACATAGTAGTCAAGAAAAGAAAGCCTATGTTAATAACTTTGGACAATGTGTTAATGAAGAACTCCCTCTTTCAAGCTGGAATAGAGAAAGTACAGGCAAGAGTTGAGATTCAGCCTCTATATTATAAATAAAATCTTTTACTCAATGCTTCGAGTAGATAACTTGATATCCATTTATCCAACAGACTCAGAGAAGCATAAACAAATGGCTGAGGTGAAGTCTTACTTGCAGCAGTATTCTGACGTCTTTAAAAATACTCAGAACGAACTGCTTCAGCTAGAAGCTAGAGAGCATGAAGACCTCGACCAGCTCAGTCAATTCTTCAACAGGATCCGCAAAGAGCTCGATTCCAAGGAGCAGCTGCTCAAAGCCAAGTACAAGAACATGCTCAGTTCGTTCCAGACTTCATTGGAGATGGACCTGGAGTTTCTCGAAGCCAAATGCAAGAGCTTGTGAGAAGTGGTTGACTCATACTCTCACAAATTCAGGACGCCCACAAAATTAGAGTAAGTAACATGAATGATGGTTTAGTCAAGACAGGTCTGATGACATCATGAACAGCTACAATCTTGAGTCCATTCTTCTCAAAGAGAAAGTTGGCATTAAATAAACTTTGCCATAAAGAATTTACTGTTCAGCAACAAAATGGGTTTAAATTTCCCAAAATTGAGTCAAATTTCCTTCGAGTGAAAGATCTGGTTGATGAAGTTGATGTGATGTCTCCTTCATTCCATGACGTGACTGAATTTAGTCGAGAAACGGTCATAAGTCTTCAGAAACTTGAAGATAGTAGCAAAGGTAATCTCCAGAATTATGGCTCTAGTTCTAAACACAGACTGTGGAACGAATTATAGTGCCAGGAAGGGTGAAGACTACCTTGAAATTGATGAAAGCTTAGAAATATCTGGTGAGAGTAAGCCCTATCTCAATGTTGCTAACCCCTTTAGTTGAGAGTCAGCCCATGAATATTCCTCAGGGCGACAACAGAAAGAAGCTGGCTAATTCTAAGAAGTCGTAGCTTCAACAGACTAATTTCTTTAATAATTCAGAGTTCTCATGAATATATTCAGCTAGGGTTTCGTAAGTAATAAGCCAATAGGCTGGTCTAATCATTTTGGGATTTTTAAAATGACAGCATCTTCATAACCTACAGATGCTTACAACTCTATTTGATCGACCAAGTTTTTATTGAGACTAAGTACATAGATATAGAAAGGAGCTTCTAAAATTATGGAGAAAGAGTTTCAAAAGTAAACCCACTTTTGATATATTTCTACTTTCTTATTATATGGTGTGGATTTAGAGGAAATCTTATTTAAGACTCTTCAAAGTTTTATAAATTTAAAAATAAGATAGAGTGCCACGTAATAGAGGTTTTCCTTCGCATAGAAAAAGAAACTTTGAAAAGTTTAGACTTTTCCTTCTTTTATTGTATAGAGATAGACTTCCTATTTGATATATTTTCAATTTTTCTAATATTAATGGGGTTTTGGGGTTTTGGGGTTTTGGGGTTTTGGGG